TACCAGTGAGGAGTTACCCAAGGAGTTAACCGATTACCTCCTGGGTGGCAAGCCACGCTGGAACAATGACCCCACTGGATAACGTCAGACCGTAAACACTCCGGCACAAATAATTGACTCGGTGGACATCCGGACGGGGGCGTTACCCCTTCTAAAGTGGTGCGAACTCTCGACTCAATCTCCCAAGTGAGTGTAGAGACCACTAGTCTCTCAGGAATAATGCACAGGAGTGGGCGCTCGGAGTGATCAAAAACACAAGACAAAGCGTCGGGTTTTATGTTTTTGGAACCTGGACGATAAGAGATTGAAAAATCGAAGTGACCGAAAAAAAGTGCCCACCAAGCCTGCCTGGAGTTGAGACGTTTGGCAGACCTGATGTATTCAAGGTTCTTGTGATCGGTCCAGACGATAAAGGGAACCCCCGAACCCTCTAGCCAATGATGCCACTCCTCCAGCGCTAACTTAACCGCCAGCAACTCTCGGTTACCAATGTCATAGTTGTGTTCGGTGGGAGACAAACGATAAGTAAAAATGCGCAGGGGTGCATCTTATCATCCGCGGGCGCTGGAAAAGAACAGCGCCTACCCCCACCTCTGAAGCATCGACCTCCACCACAAACTGACGTGAAGGATCAGGGGCTATGAGGATGGGAGCCGAAACGAAGCGGCTCTTAAGGTTGGAAAATGCAACTTCAGCTGCATTAGACCACCTGAATGTCGTTCTGGTGGAGGTCAAGGCGGTCAGAGAAGTGGCTAGTTGGTTGAAATTGCGAATAAAAATTTGTGAAAATTGGCGAACCCCAGGAACCTCTGCAGGGCCTTGCGGGAATCTGGAGTTGGCCAATCCACCAGAGCCTTGATGTTGTCGGGGTCCATGCGCACGCCCTCGGATGAGACGATGTATCCCAAAAGCGGAACTAACTGTGCATGGAAGACGCACTTCTCCGCCTTGACAAAAAGCCCATTCTCTAGCAGCCTCTGAAGCACTACCTGACATGCTGAACATGTTCCTGGAGAGAAGAGGAAAAAATCAATATGTCATCCAGGTAGACATATATGAATTGGTCGACCATATCTCTCAGCACATCATTATCCTGAAATACCCTGAAGGATCTGGGATCCTGGTGTTGAATCCTCATCCAAACTGTAAAACCCATTGTGTGTGAGGAGAACCAGCCTGCACAATCATTGGGCAAGGGCGCACCCCTAGCTTCTAGTGGAGTTGGCCCTAACTCCTAGAGGTGACTCCTCGAGGTAAAGTCATCTATTGCGAAAGATGCTGCTTAGTGAACTTAGGAAGTAAGTTTTGGGAGTTCATTTTTATTCCATCTCTGCAAGACAGACTTTTCAGGATAGGAGACGGACTAAAAATAACTCCAAAACTTACTGCCAGATTCTGGAAGATAAATTCTTCAAACAAGAGGATGTGGTGCTGATCCTTCAAGAGTCACTCTCAACTTATCTGTCTATAAAGTCTATAAAAAACAGTCTTCGTGTATTTTACTACACTTCAGCATGTGATTCTTATTAGTTGAAGGTAATTTTTTTAGGATTTTTTACCCAAGCAAAGTCTGACACCTTGCACATCTGGAGACTCCAGGTAGGTTGCAGTTCTGGAAAATGGTGGCATGGAGACTAAAGGGTTCCTAATGGTTTCACACTTAATTCTTCACATTAATTATTATTTTGCAGTTAACATGTGTCTTTTCTTCTCCACCTGTTTTTTTCTGACCCTGCTGACCCAGTGAGCATTTTTCTGTCCAGTGGTCATGCCTTAACTTTGCAAATTCCAGTATTGCATTAGTATTGCATCCTTCTCATGGGCATTTAATAATTTTTGACTTTTCAGTCTGAGTTAAATCTCTTTTTTGGCTCATTTTATCTGTAAAAGAAAACCTGCTTAATAATTATGCACACCTGAATATTTTTTTTCACTTCAATGCGTTTTTCACTTCCAGCCTTCATGGACAATTATATATCAATTATAAATGATTAGATACAAAATGAATAGTAATTATTAAGATTGATGTGGGTTGGAATCTGTAAAATGTGCTTGGAAAAAAATATATGATCAGAATATCAACTTGCATATAATTATGCATGCACTGTATAGATCAGTGATATCAACTATAGTGTTTTTACAGGTGATTATTTCTTTACCACATTGGGCCAGTAATGTGTCTGATTTGAGCTCACACTCTGTTCTTACTCTTCACAACATAATTATTTTCTGCTCATTCTCAGGTGTCTTTTGTTTATTCTATGGTGGAGTACAAGCCCCTCACTTTTAACCGCTGGTATGTGTACCCGGATTGGGCGTATACACTAGGCTGGTTACTGGCCCTGTCCTCCATTCTGCTGGTGCCTGGATGGGCTCTAGGCCAAATGTGTGCTGGGAAAGGAAGCCTGAAACAGGTGCGGATGATGATACATACATCCATCATATTTATGCATTTTTTGTCCAAAGCCATTTGCATTGCATTCGAGGTATAGAATTAAGCAGTTCATGCATTTCCCCTGAAAATGAACAGAGAAACAGCCATTCCAAGGGGAATTACTTACAATTTAACCAAAGCAAGCTAAAAACACTAACCAAAAATAAATCTACCTTAAATTCTAATGTCGTTTCTCTTTGTCTGTGTTTCTTGACAGCATTGGCGCCACTTGTGTAGTCCTGACACAAAACTCCCTCTCTCCTGTAAGCAACTAGCTAAAACATACAGGTAGAAACAGTTATAGCATACGAGTGTGGGGTTATATTGTAAATTCAGCATGGAATATAGAATTGATAAGTGTTAATTTATTACAGTTGTGGTGTTTGTAACCAACACTGCTAATGTTATAGCTACTGAGATGAGATACATAGACCAGATGACCATTTGACAACATATCTTTTTGTAGATAATTTGAGGTTCCCAAATTATCATTCACCAAATAAATTTAATACCATTTTCATTCAACATGATTCAGTGGCTTGTGTGGTTGTGTTTCCTTTCAGTCGCCTGACTTAATGTTGTCCTACAGGTTTGCATAACTTCCTCCTGCATGATTTATAATATGGGGAGACCAGTATGGTTGATGCACTGTACATAAAAATAGGCCTACTTGAAAGTTCATGCTTAAGTAAATAAAGAAAAATAAACAACGCTTTATAACTAAATCTGTCTGTTGTTATATTCTGAGGGTTGCCTTGGAAACAGTTCACAGGATTTCAGTTCCAAACACTTCAAACTGTGTTTGAAGAAAAAGAGACTATGTGAAGAGCAGTTGAGGAGAAGCTGTACAAGACAAGCTGTTTGTCTTTTTCAAGACAAAAGATCATTTTAAACAAAATATTTTGCCATTCTCTTTCCATAGTGATGATTTTTAAAATCACAGGTCCTTGCAAAAAGTCTAATCCTTAGAATTTCAATAGATTCATCATGTTAAGTAACTGTTAATGCAGATAAGACAGCTTTAGACAATTAATGTAAGTTGCATGCAAAGTATTAATGTGTCTTTTATCTAAGACCACAACAACTGATGAGCTCTTCAGGTAGGAAAAAAAAAAAGTCATGTGATCCTGAAAACTCAGGTAACGCCATCTCTGTTCGGAAACGGACTAAGCAGGATCATAGCAGGACCAAGTGTATTCATTGTCAACAAATGTGCCATTAAATGTATGCACAAACAAACCAAAGGCCTTTTAATTAAGCTTTTTATTTGCATCTGCATGTAGTGTAATAGTGTAACGTTTGCGGTGATTCTGTCTTCAGCAAACATTCTGCGTGGAAACACTGAAAGTATCATACACTTACACACACACACACGTTCATCTTCTGTTTGATATCACTTATGTCATAATATAGCTTACAGTACACAAACATTCTTAAAATGCATTAGAATTGCATCACATACTGTACTTCTTGTGCTGCTACATGGACAGATATCGATCATGTCATAGCATGCCATTCATTTCAAACACAAAGAAGAACTCTAAGGTTATTAAACAATCTTGCCCAAGTGGAATTTGCAGACCTTTTCTCATTTTCTGTATTTATTTTAGGGAAAATATCTAAAAATCTGCTCTACTGTAACATAAAACATGTTAACATATAAAGTACTAAGCTCTGAAATCCTAATCAAATTAGCCAAAATATTTCATAAATTAATATGCAATGATGATGTGCACAATTTTGTGAGTGACAGCAGAATTCTGTAAAATCTCTGTGTGGGCCTGACGGCTTCTTTAGACAAACCAATTCATATACAACCTCTGTTACTCAAAAATACTCAGTAAGTAAATAAAAGGAAATATACAACAACAAATAATACATTAGTGTCATGTCAAGAGTATCATAAATGTGCCAAAACATTTGGTGCTTTAGTAGAGAATTGGGGAAGAAATGTAAAGAAAGCACAAAACACTATTAACTCAACAAAGCTCACAAAGACGTCATGATCTGTGATCAAATGAATGGGAAATACAGCTCATATAAACACTCAAATTTGACCCTTCATCTCCGCGAGCCCAATTCAAAAGGCTTGAGTGATGGGTGTCTTGGTCCATGGTAAAAGAAGAAGACGTAAAGCAAGCAGATCAATGCAATGAGATTAATGAAGTGCGCACTGCATAGAAGAACAAAAGCTCCGTGGACTTTAGCAAGATCACCGTGGGAATAATTCTTACACCGTTCTTAGTGTCTTTGCATGTGTGGACTTTTCGGGACCTTCATGCACCATCCTTCTTTTCTTTAAGCGACAAGGCCTCACAGAGGGGAACTCATGACTAATTATTACCACATTTTTGCAAAATACCATTCCCAGTCATGTTCTTCAGAAACGCTACATGCTACAAACTGTGACAACAATTGCAAATTATTCAACTAGTCTCTAATATAAATCAACAAAGTAGGAAACAGGCTGTCATTTTTGATTACTCTGTGATCGACTATGCATGAAGTGTTGCTATCAAAAACATTTGCAAATGGCAACTGACAACCTGAAGTTGCTTCTTGATTCCATTATGGGGCAGGATAGCTGATGCAGATAGATGAGTGGCAGTCTGTAGCATGTGCGTTAAATTCCGTATAGCTCTCATCAGACACTTTGGGTGATTGCTGATACAGATGACTAGAAATGTGACAGAAAGGAAGATGGCACGCTGCGCAGTCAAGATGCTGTCCTTGAGCTACCGTGGAGAATATTGGGGAAATGATAACATCTCTGAAATCATGTTTGAGATGTTCGAGAAAGTGTCTTGAAGTCTCCCTTGCTGTTTCTCTGCTGTAAAGGCCCAGTGCTCAGCAGGTTTCTGGGTGCAGTCTAAAGCAGGTTTCCATGTGTAGAGCTGTCTGGAGGCATTATGGGATCATCTGGTGGACTCACGGTTCCTCTATGGGCTCTGATTTGCTCAGAAGTGGTGGTGTTATCACTGACAGAATCGTATTGACCTGTTGACTGCCATTCTGCATCTGGATTTGGAGCTAGAAGAGGAGATGGGGGCGCCACCTCTTCAGTGCCATTAAGTCCATATCTGTACACCACAGGAGTATCAGGTTTGGTGCTGGTGGCTGCCTCGACTCCTACTTTTGATTGAGACCCTCCATTGCTGCTGTCTGTAGGTAGGCACTTGAGGCTGGGATAGTGCCCAGACTCAGCCATGACCTGTTGGAGCTTCTCCCAGGCAGCCGGAGCATCAGCACCTGCTTGGGCGGCCTGGAAAAGCAGATGGGCATGTTGGCGGAGCTGGGCTATGTCTTGTTCGGTGGCCGCATTTTGCCGCAGCAGATCCTGCGTCCTTAAGGTGATGTCCAGTAGTCCCAGCTGACTCAGAATCTCCACTGTGTTGAGGAAGCGACGATGCCGTGCTGTCCCTTTGAGGTTGTTTGACCCTTTGCCAGAGCCACTATTCAGTTCTGGGCAATGCTTATGGGGCTCTTTTCTGCCCTGGATGAGGTCGTTGGAAGAGGGTGGGGAAAGCATCTGAGTGCTTGAGATGGATGGAGAGCTCACGTTGAGGGAGGCAGAGGGACTAGATGGGCGGCATGGGCTCTGGTGCTGGTGAGAGCCAGAAAGTGTCTCACGGCCTGCAGACAGAGAACGTGAGAGGGAATGAGATTGCAACAGCAAGTTGTTCTCTGGCTGTTTGTGCAGATGCTGCTTGGCCGCTTGCGTGGTTGTGGACACCTCGTCTCTCTTCTCCTCTGTGCATACTCTCTTACTCAGGCATATACATGCATGTGTGTGTATTTATATATAAATAATAAATATACACAGTACACACACATATATTATGTAAACAAAAACCTTTATTTTGGATGCGATTAATCGCGATTAATCGTTTGACAGCACTAAAAGGACTTAGTTCAACATGGCTCTGTCATAAAATGCAACCAGGAAAAAAAATTTCTGAATATGATGTGACCTAATGAACACGTTTGGGATTAACTGGAATGCTTTCTTCGACGCACGTTCATGAGAGTGCCACAACACATGCGACATGGTACTCTCGTGAACGCGCATTAAAGACTGACAAGGAAGAGAAGAAATTGTTGAATAAAGTTCGTTTTACAAAAAAAGTACTTGGACACCTCGTCTCTCTTCTCCTCTGTGCATACTCTCTTACTCAGGCTGTGCTCCTCTGTGTTACTTCCTCTACTGGCCGTTGGTTTCTCTGGGGTTTTCTTACTTGGGTGAGGTGCGATTCGAGGGTAGGAGTTTAGGATGGGGAGGTAAGTGTTTTTGCTCTTCTTTACACCCTTGCTTTTGGATCTCTGTGGCTGGGGTTGGAGGATGTGCAATGGGGCGCTTTGATTGATTCCAGGCTGTTGCAGCAAGAGGACGTGGGTGGGACCCTGACTGCTTGTAGCACCTCTATCCCATGACAGAGATGAAGGAAGGATGTGGTCCTGACCAGACTGCCCAGGCTTGGGAAAAAGAAAAAGAGAAGAAGAGACAGAATTCCTTCTTGTACAGAGCAGTTTTACATCAAGAAATCACAAGTAAATGAGGTGCCTTTTGTAGCACATTTCACAGCAATGTCTTATTTTATAGGATGTGTTCTTTTCTATGTGACTCACTTCCACTCCGTTCATCACAAGCACTTAGGACCTTCGGACACCTCTTACCATGCGTTTCAATGCCACACATCATTCTTCTTTCTTTATACCTCTGCCTAATTAATTTTATCTTTGGATTTGGTTTAAAATATAATGGGCTGCCTTGTCGTCTACTTTCTACATACAATAAAAAGGAAACTTGAAAGTGTTTTGGAACTTGACTGTCTCAGGATTGACTCACCTGCTTCAACACCACATTCTTAATGGTGAATATTGGGGTGAGTTCAGGCGTCCCGGACACCAGTATGTGGCTTCCCTGCAGGGGACCCTGCTCCACCCCACCCAAACCCTTGCGGACCTGAGGCTCATTCACACTGCTCTGCTGGTCATCTGCATCAGTCTGCAAGGAGTCTGAGCCAGTGTCTGAGAAAGAAAAAGAGCAGTAGGAGGAGAAAGGGCATTCGATGGAACAAAAAAAAGAAAAGGAAAAGGCAAGAGGAAGGATGGGAAACAAAGAAAGAGAAATACAAAAGTCTCAGTCTACTAATGACAAGTCAAATGAAGGACCATTCAATGCCGGAACCTTGAAGTTTTGGCACGGATGTTACACAAGCCTCATAAAACTACATTTTATGGTCAGAAGTACACTTCTAATAAAGAGGTTTGACTCGTTCAGCTGTTTGTGCATAAAATCAAGCATATTGGCAATAAATATCCTTATACAAACAGTTGAATAATGCATATCAAAGGTAGTGCTGTCAAATGATTAACACACACATATATTATGTAAACAAAAACCTTTATTTTGGATGCGATTAATCGCGATTAATCGTTTGACAGCACTAAAAGGACTTAGTTCAACATGGCTCTGTCATAAAATGCAACCAGGAAAAAAAATTTCTGAATATGATGTGACCTAATGAACACGTTTGGGATTAACTGGAATGCTTTCTTCGACGCACGTTCATGAGAGTGCCACAACACATGCGACATGGTACTCTCGTGAACGCGCATTAAAGACTGACAAGGAAGAGAAGAAATTGTTGAATAAAGTTCGTTTTACAAAAAAAGTACTTTTTTGTTTTCTTTGCTCACAAAAAGTATTCTTGTAGCTTCATAACATAACAGTTGAACCACTGCGGTCACATATAGAGCCCAACTGATTTATTGTTTTGCCGATTTTATCGGCTGATATGAGCCTGTCGCAGATATACCTGCATCGGCGTATATGCCGCAGATATGCCACTGATATGAAATTTTTTTTTTACATTACATATAACGCAGATGAAATGCTTGTAAATGGTGTAATTACTTAGTTTGTCCAGCAGAGCATGCTCCATTGTTTGCTACTGGCGACCCAGGTCACTGTAGTGACACCAGCCAACCCTTTCACTTCAGTAAGGAGGTCTCTTGTTCAGGCAGTGGCAGACAAGCAGTCAAGCAGTGTCTTAACGGTAAGTTGCTAACTACTTTGTGAAATGCATAACTTACTGTAAATTTAATAAACAATGACCCCAATGTAAGTCCAATATTACGTTAACCCCGCCGTCCCTTAAAACTGCCATGTCACTCATGCATGTCACATCACATTTCCTAAGTCAGATAGTTTGTCAGGACAGTCAGTAACATAGCAGATTGAAAAGTTAGTATCTTTCTGCAGTCCAATAGACAGCAGTGAGGTGGTGGCTTGAGTCTGTTGAATGGTTTAATGCTACATTGTCACCTAGTTGGAGAGACTCAATGCTAAGTAAATACCCAATGTCCCCGTCTTTTACTCTCACAATGAGCTTATCATATTCGTTTGATACATTAGTAGAGTAGAGCCATATGATTTCCACGATGCAAAAAACATGGACGGAATCGTGAAATCCAGTCATAAAAACGGAATTTACTGTTTAACACAGAATTTGTCATATTTTTAACGAATAAATACAAAACAGGTCAGTACACTTAAATCAAATCGCAATATAGACTAGTGTCTGTGCATATTAAACTACAAAACAATTATTTAAATACGAATTCTCATGTTCTGCATGTTCATTTGATTACCAGAAAATACACAACACAGAATTTGTGGGGGAAAAAAAACATTTCATAGAAATTATTATTAAAATGTGTATGTATATATATTCTGTTTATATATAAACAGTTTGGACACACGAATGGAGAGTAATATAATATACACATAAAGAATACCGGCCGATATATGAAGAGTTCATTTGCAAAAACAGATAACTCCATTTTTATTTATTTTCAGAAATCATGTTTGTTTGTTTTTTATTATTGTGCATTCCAATATCAATCAAACTGCAGTTGGGTTGTTTTGATTAAGTAATAATAACTTAAACAAATAGGCCAACAGGTAACTTACAAAATTAAAGTTCATTGAAAGTATGTTTTTTATATATATTAAGTTTATTTTATAGCAAAAGCAGATAACTCCATATTTCATGTTTCAGAGTTAAACAAAAACAGTCGTTTTATCTTTGCAATCTCCCCAGATGACAATGTAGATGCCTGACAAACGTTGTTGTTGTTGTTGTGATCATAAACGGTATGGATGTGATTACACGCAATACACAGAGCTTTTCCTTCACCATTGTAACGCGCTGCTTTTGCAAGGTTACGTGAAAAAAGTTTTGGCTTTTATTTTCCTTTTACACCGTGAAGAAGATATCAAGGGTTTATCAAGTTCGTCGAAATTATCCATCCTGGATCAGTCAGCTTTGACCAAACTCCTCTCAGCTAGCACGTCTTTTCAAAGTGACTGGCATCCTTGTCACCTGACCTGAATACAGCGCACCGATTCACTAAAATAGACTTATCGCAGGGTTTCTGCAGAATTTTTAAGCTCAAATGTAAGACTTTTTAAGACCTTTTTTTAAGACCTGCACAAATAAATGTAATACCACATGAGCAATGCCTATAGTACCATATTAAACTGTAAAATTACTGTAAAAAGCATAATTTACAGTTCAGATACAAGTTTTCACAAAAACAAAAAGTTTTACAAATGATAAACTTTACATTTCAGCCTTTAAACCATTTTTAAGAAAATGGATGAGTCCAAAGTATTAATTATTAATTTAAACAATTACTATGAATAAATTATTATATAAATTAAATAACAAAAATTAGGGGTGTGCAATATTGACAAAAAATGATATTTTCTGGATATTTTCTGGGATTTTATCGATAACGATAATTAGACGATATTTCGCTGAGTGTGTTATTGTGCTGGTATTTTAAGGACTACCATGGACAGCTGACTTCTGAATTTTTGATATTCTTCATATTCTGTGTGGTCAGCTCACAGCAGTGATATAAATTAATCTTTTCCAACAAGTTTTATGAGCATTTTTACCATTAAGCCATTTTTTTTCTTAAAAGTGTGCATCATCTTTTGAGTCAAATTCTTGCATTTGTGCTGTTACCAAGCAAATGAAATCAGTATCAACCGAATTCATCTTTGCAATGCAGAGAAAACACAGAATCTGCATCTGAAGTGGCATTTAGATGCATTTATACATGGTTTAATGCAGCTCAGAGGGACATAGGATACTTTAACCTGCAGTCACAAATGCATAAATAATGTTTTGATATTTTAAACATAAAACATTCAAAACTGATGTTTGAAATTATTAAAAAAATTAAAAGATACTTTAAATGTGAAGTTAAAACCGCCAGCAGGTGGCAGCAAGTCACAGTTAATAAGTGAGTCATTGCGATTGAATCGAATCATTTGAACGGTTGATTCATTCAGGAACGAAACCCGGTCATGTTGCTCAAAGACGCAAAACAGCGCTGTGGCTGTGTTTG